CCTTGAAGGACTCGCTAATGAGGGCCTTGGTTTAAACAAAAAAGAATATATTTTTACAGCAAAAAAAGTTGAATTCCTAGGCCACGATATTTCAGAATTAGGTATAAGTGTACTGCCAAAACGCACATCGGCCACCGTGGATTTCTCCGTAATGCGCGATATATAGTAACTCCTGCAGTTTCTAAGTACTATAAATTTCGTTAGCAATTTTATACTTAACAAGTCACAGCTAGTCAAGTTTGCACAGTTTGTGTGGGCCAAGCAACAACAATACGCATTTTTCTTTACTGTGTAACGGAACGGATTTCTAAGTCTCAATTACCTGACAGTTCGCTACCCTACATTCAACTCAAAGATGACTCCACTATCTGTGAGGAATACTCATTGTTTTCCTTCAGACTAGTCATCCTTACCTTGATACAACTCTAAATTATTTCCAGACTGCAGGAAGGTCATTTTGCAAGGCTAGAAGAAAAGAAAAATTTTTGCCAACTATTTATTAAAGAACAGTTTTTTGACAGGCCTTGGCATAAAACCGAACTAGATCTCTTCAAAGAAAATAAAATTATACTTGGTAGCCACTAATAACTATTCAAGATACCTAGAAATTTGTCTTCTGAAAACTATATTTGCCCGCTTTGGCTTCCTGAAAGTTATCGATCATAACAGCACGCAGTTTGTTTCCAGCTTTAAATGCTTTGCTAATACTAACGTTTTCTAGCATATGAAGAGCTCATCAAAATTTTCCCTGAACAATAGTGTATTAAAAGCCCCTGTTAAAATAGAAAAATGTATCGTTAAGAAAGCGATGACATAAGCGTGGGTCTAGTCTCATACAGAACGCTGATGAAAATTATTATCGACACGGACAGAAACCTAAGTTTATTTTGGATTGAAATCAAGAAACACTCAGTCATTCGGCGCAATCGTAGGCATTTGATATGATGCCCGCAGATATGACATCAAGATCATTAGCAACGACGCACCGAGTGTAACCGACGATATGCAGAATGAGACATTAGTAAATGAACTATTCGTCGATACGCAGGGCCGTTCCCTGTCAGCTGATGGAGTCACGTAAGATCCTAAAAGTCATACTCGGAACGGCCTTATCACTAGCCCTACTTCTAAATAACGGCAACGGCAATAATGTCATGCAAAATACGGGAGCAATCAAAGATATTAATAATGGACACAGCGCAGAAAAACATATAAGTAAAGAATTTCCGAAGCCCACCGAAGTTAAAATCGAGCTCAAGCGTTACACAGATTCTTCAGTTTAATAATTGTATAATTAATCTTTTACTCATTCTAATATTTTGTAATAATCTTCGATGTAATGATGCAGTAGCTCTGGCTCGTTGGCAACCCACTTTCTCAGCGAAAAGCCTCCTGCCCGCAGCAAGCCAAGCAGTTAATCGTGGCAACGTCGGGCTGTCTCTACATCATCAGCGCCAGGCAGGATGTCGTTAGTGAGCGATCTCCTCGAACGATCGGGACAGCTTCGGGCCACGCTTCGCTTTTGTCATCGCATAACTGCAAGATCGTCCGCAAGGAGAGATAGGGAGCACTGGCCTCGCCATAAGTAACAGTCAGCAACTAAAAGTGCTGCGGTGGGACAGTTTTGTCAGCGCTCCACAGAATCCTCTGCAGGTTGACGTCGCACTCATCGATCCAAGTCTGACGAAACATCATTTGGATATCCACACAAAACGAGATCGGATGTATTCTCCAAAGAAGCAGGACACTCGGCAGGCAGGCTTGAAGCTTTGGTTCGGCGTGCAAGGCATCGTTTAGGTTGTGGCCGCTGGATGTAGGTCGAGACGCATTGAACACAACACGCAGCCTTTTTTGTTGGTCCCCGAATTTCCAAAATCCATGATGCAGAATATTATGTACTGGGCCTAAAGATGAGCACAGATCGGCCTCAGTCAAGAGTCGCAAGTGCCCATGCTGAAAGTATTTACCCATGAAGCGAGTATACTCAATGGCCATTTCCGGAGCACGTTTCAGTCGGCGCTGCGGCGCCTGGAGGGAGGCCCTGGCGCCGGTCAGGCTCTCACCTAATAAGGAAATTCCGTCGCGCTTGAGTGGGAGGTGAACAATGTAGCGGCCGTCGGCTGCTCGACGATGATCAACAAAGCTGGCCTCATACTCCGCGTCATCCGGCGACTGGCGCGTGATGCGTGGTACGTCCTCCAACTCCTAGTAGGGCTGCATCAGTGCGATGAGTTAATCATGCCACGGTGGCGCTTTGACCTCGTCTTGTGTCACAAGACAGGTGACAGCTGAGGTCAGGACAGCGTGACTAGAAACATGGCCGGCAAGAGTCCAACCAGTAAGGGTGAGTTGTCTGACTAGGCTTCCCCGGCGCAAGAGTCCTGGTCACAGTAAATTAGGGTACACATCGGCACCAAGTAACATGTCGACGTTCCCTGGGGTGTCAAAGGTCAGATCTGCAAAGCCTGGCAAGTCACGCCAGAGTTCGAGGATGTTCGGGGGAAGCGAGACAGCGGGGGTCAGGAGCCCCATCCAAGGCAAGCAGTGCGCAGTCAGCGACAGCGACCAAGTGAAACGCTGAGCTTGTAGCTTTAGCTGAGCTGTCCGTGGTGAGTGCGAGATGCCCCCCTACCCCACGAAGCGCGAGATGGTTATGGCAGATGGTTGTAGGTCGGCGCCGAGCCGTTGGGCGACCCTCTCGGAGGTGATAGTGATCTCTGAGTAGGCGTCCACGAAAACTTGTGCTGTGATCAATCGCTCCCCTGCTCCCACGAGTTGAATTTTGAGGATCGTTCTGGCGGTTCGAATCAAGGAGTGGCTGTTTGACGAGAGCCGACCCGGCATTCGACACAGCCCGACGCTTTTGGCTGGCATCGTGGATGAGGCTAAGGTGCGTCGCACGATAGTGTTGATATACGCCCTGGGAGTGTGCCAGGTGTCCCAGTCTCAGACAATTGAAGCAGACCTTGGCCTGTGCCACCAGGGCGCATCGCACGGACACGTTCAGCGCCAGAAACAAGCTGCAGTGGCCCATGTAATGAGGCGCATGGCAAGCGAGGCAGTCCACTTCAGCTGCGTGGGTGGCCAAAGTTCGGTGATAACTGCTAGATGTAGGTGGAGCGCGCGAGGCCTCCATCGAATTCAACGATCGGCCGCGCCTTCTGAGAAAGCTGGACAGTGCGGTGAACGTGGCTACTTCCCCGGGTGCCGAGGAAGTTGCTTCCAATTTCTCGAGCTCGTCTTCCCATGCCCTGCGAGTGGATGGATCCATGGTGGTTGATGCGAAGGAGATTAATCCCAGTGTTCAAAGGGCTGCTTTAGTACTTGCAGTTGGTCCCGGTACTTCTCCAACGTATCGAGCAGGCCCTGCAGACCCTCAGCGCATTCGTCGTGGTGTGACTTGAGCGCCCTGAGCGCCATGACGTGATCCTGTACGAGGAGGAAGCGGTGCTCGAACCGTAAAGTAAGGAGGTTCCAGGCCGTCGAGTAATTGGACATAACCAGCTGGGTGGTGTCCAGAACTGCCTTTGCTCCACCACGGACGTTCGCTTTGAGGTAGTACAATCTTTCTACGTCGTGTTGGAGAGACTGGCATCTTCACATCATCAGATCCATACAGGAGTTTGAGGGGGGCGATTTTGTCCTCGGAAGCACCTCTAACCAAGTCGGGCTGGTTGCCCTGAAAATTGGTCGAATAGCTGCTGAGCAGCTCCAGTCTGGCCTCGACGAGACCCATTCTCCAAGCTTCGATGCCTTGGACGAATTGTACGAACTGGTCAAGAACCTTGAGAAGAGCTTGCTGCGTGGCAAAAACGTCTGACCAGCTTTCGTTTAAAGAGATCACATGTTAGACTTGACACTCGTCTCCCAAGCGGAGCCTGATCACACATGATACAGTCAACATTCTGAGCTGGGTAATTGCATTCGGGCGTGGGTTTCGTGACACAAACTGGACGGCAGTTGTCTGGACGGTTTCCTCTCAGAGCGTCACGCGAGGACTCACATAAAACCCCATTGCTCGTTACTTGGTATAGCTTTGTACGATTGCACCACGTGCAATCAGAGCCCGCATTATCTCCTAACCTCACAATTTTCTTGGCGTGGCACCACTCTATGTGACTGTATCACGTGCAGCAGAGGCCCAATTTTCTCGATGCGTTCTCGGACGCAGGAGTTTTGTCGCACATGTGAATGACTTACTTATATTGCAAATAGGATGACGTAGTTGTGGCTGTCCCTAAGTTGACAGAGGCCTCGAGGTAACCTGTCCTCAGCTGCACATTCCAACTAACTTAATCTGGCTCGAAGGACCAATATTTGATTTACTGGTTATTTATTGAGAGGAATGTATGATCAACACAGGACGATGATGCGTGGCTGCTAATTTCAGCAGAGCTTACAACATAAAAATAAATACACGAAGACAAATGCTGTACAGTTGAAGATACAATAGCGGCTACGCTCGCTTTTCTTGGGGTTTTCTTTCACTTTTCAGTCTGACCGTTAATAACCAGCCACGGCTCCATGCCGTGCCTCCAGAAAGCGGCCAAGAGGGCGGGACGGTAGCAGGCGTGAAATACAAATCAACAACTACATTATTCATTTTACTACCTTTTAATCAAAAAGGGATGGCGTTGTGTTCGTGCAACCTTTATACGTCAGCAGAGCTGAGCCACAAGCGGTTCAGATATTCATGAACGTGTGGCAGTCGAGCTAGAGACCCTAACGTGACCATGTTGATCCCCCAACACTCGCTCTTACACGCTTCTTATTGTTTGTACAAATGTTTTGTCTTCTTTCTGCCTAGTCTGTCTCGTCCTTCCCACATAACAACAATAATGTTTCATCGGAAATTATAAAGAAAATCACATAATTGACGCGTCAGCACCAGATTATTTATGAATTGCAGATCGGTTTTAGTAGATAAATACAATATACTTATCTCACATTTGATTTTCTTTTTAAATTAAATAAGAGAAAAAAGACGTAAATATACTCACCTATGTCACCACTGCTAGAACTCTCAGTAAAAGAAGGTGTACCCTCTGTCCAAGTTGGTGTTAAGCGTTCAACACTACCACTTGGTGGAGTCCAAGTAAGTACTCCACCTCGACCATGGTTGCTTCCACTACTTTCAACGCTAAGGGAGGATTTGGTTTTTCGGCTGTCTCCACTGCCACTACCATCACTACAACTCTGTTCCAAATGAACATCTGATATGCTGTAGCAAGAGATCCTTAGGTACATTACTTATAAAAGCTTACATTTGATCAATCGGAATGTTGTCGAATCAGTAATTTACGTTGAAAAAGTTAAAAATTAAAACAAATTTAGATCAAGCACAAAATGCATTAAAGTAGATTTTAAAAAATACATACAACTTTAATGACAAAAAAAAAAAAGAAGAATTCCTAACGAATTTTAACAAATTCCCGTAGCACTGTGATTAATATATACATGCCTGACAGTGTCATGGTGGTTTTTTGCAAGAGAATAATGCGATGTCCTGCTTCGGCTCGTATGGCAACCAGATAATATGCTGTTGTATTGTTGATTTTGATGGGTAGATGAATGCTGTTTTGAGTTAGAACCACTAAAAGCCAACGTTCGATCGTTTAAATGCACCGCAGCGTCAAAAGGTGGAGGTGGTGTAGAGCAAGAAGAAGAGAAGGTGCTACCTACAGAAAAATTACAGTCTGAGATTAATGCTCGTAAAAATTTAAAAATTAAACTGGAAAGTTCATCACAGGGTACAAAATGTAATTAAATAATAAATTCTCCATTTTTATTACATTAAAAATATACTAAGAATACTTGATTATTATTATAAAAAGATATCCAAGTCATTTAACATCTATGACCCAATTACATTATGTTGCCTAAATACACTGAATCTATATTGAAACTGAAAAAACACGATAGACCAAAAATAATAATATACAATACTAGCAATAAGATCCAGCGATGAGTAATACACAGTTTAAAATATGTACAAAGATGTTTAGAAAACAAAGACGCTGTAGGAAGCATAAAGTTTTGCGGAGGAATAGTGGCAGGCTATTTGAAATAAAAAATAAAAGGTAATGTCGCATGCGACCCAAAAACGGTGTAATAACATGTTTATGCTAGTAACAATAATGTAATGGTATTTTTTCTAGGTTATGATACATAAAATTTGAACAAATTTAAGTTTTAATTATTTTGAAAACGTCGGTGGTTTAAATAATATATTTTTCATCATACATTTTCGTTCCACGAAGCAGAATCCCTTTTCTTGGCGCAGGGTTGATGAAAAATCATGTACAACCCACGGAAGGAAACAAAGAATCCCTCAGATCGCATGCTTATCTCCCTCGGCTTCGCCTCGGGCGTCAATTGCCTGCAATCTGAGACATTCTTTATTTTTCCTCCCTAGGTGAATAAAATACTATTTTTTCTATCTTATCAACAAATACGTTATGACTGCTACCATCGCAGTAATTGGTAACACTCTCACTATTATTTTCACTTAATTGTTTAACGTTTACGTATTAAAATGTGCACATTAAGGAATACATTAACGTAGATGCGTAGCGACAGCGTGTTTAAAATTTTAGTTTATACTCATCAGGTGTATAAGATGCAGTGCTCTGTGTCATGACAAAAACTGGTAGTCTGGTCCTCTGATTCGTGTATTCACTGTACGAAAAGTAAAGGATACGGTAAAAAATTAAATTACTTACAGGTAGATTTCTTAGTATAACGTCAGTAAATAAATTTAAAAGCCAAATGGCTATTAAAAAGTTAAATTTGTTGTTTATTAGTGATAAAACTTACGTAAAAAGTATTTATAAGGTAGTTTGTTGTAATTGGTACAGTAATCAACAATACTGTGTATGAATATGTAAAATCATACCACAGTCCTGCTGTGGCAATGTGAACTTCATTATGATTTTTAAATGCTTCATGCATAACATTTAATCTCGGTTATATGCACAAAAACACTTTTTTTTAAATAAAAATTTGATTGAACTAGTACCTAAGCCAAATTTTAAAGATCAGAAACATTTGAATTAGACACTTCGCTTCGAGAATGACTGCAGCACCCTCCGCTCATGGTCAAAACTGGCATTTTGAAGTATGGGAAGGTATCTTCTTTATGGTAGTAAACATATAAGCTTACTGAAAAATTATTATGCTATTCATAATAATATTCTGATAACAAATAAGTTTAGTGATTCTAATCGTTATTACACTGTTTCCATTAGTTAGCATACGTCCAATAACTTATAAAAACATACTTTTAGTTTTATAGTTGGAAGTCTAAGCAAAAATATTACAGAACTCCGATTGACCGATGAATATGCACGTTTGTTTGTCACATAAGTACGATGCGCGTACAGCAGACGAAATCACTACTTTGGCACTTCTAATTTCAATTAATTGATGATTGCTAATAAGATCTTATGATACGACTTACTTATATAAATAACTATTATTTCCATATTAATTATGGTAGTATTTTTTCCTCTATAACTCCTACACTTCATATATTGTATGGGGCCACGGAAGTACAGCGGTTAGGGCTGCAGATCTCGTAGTTCGGCGTGCCTGGTATTGCAGGTTCATCATTTTCGGGTCTTGATGTGTAAATGATTGATGTCACAATTAAATCCGAGACGGTTTTTCACTATACTAATGACGATAGCATACTTCTAGTGCGATACATAACTTACTTCTTTTGAAAAGAGCTACGTCTCAAAATCCAATTCATACGTGCAATCTCCAACTATCTTATAAGCACTCATTTTACAACATCAATTAGCCCTAATATCCTCAATAATGTAAAGTGTCAACAATTACAACATTTATTTTTGTGTATGATCCTCGCCGTGCCGCCGCCACATTCACGCCGCCACATCCACGGAAAATAGCTGCTTTTTGACATCGATTTTTCGCGTACTTCCGGAATGTCGAACGAAACGACGTTTTAGTAGATTGTAGAATAACTCTCAACAAGTATAATGCCGTTTGAAAAATGGCAATATGTTAAAAAATCAGCCATGTCCAACTTTTTTGCGGAGGGACCATTTTTTGCTTCTTGCTGTGGTTTGTAAAAAGTTTAAAACCGATCCTATTGAAATAGAGTATGGATGTTAAGGGACACATGATCTACCTTGTATTTAATTTTCAAGTTCTAATATTCAAATGAACGTGAGTTATAGGTTTTTAAAAAACAGTCCAAAAGAGCACTTTTAAGCAAATTGCGAAAAAACGGCGGGGCCAATTTTATTCTCCTGGAGCTCATCTTCTTTGTCTTGAAATAACACATCTTTTTTAAAAGTACAACATTTTTGACCACATTAACCATTTTTTTTGGCCGTTAGCTGACACAATTTGGAGTCTAAGACTATTTAGATTTGTTTAGAAACCGAATAACTACCATCACGATTTTTTTCGCGCTAATAGCAATTTCCCAAAATTAACCATGCTTTTCTGATAATTCTATCCCATCAGAAGCTCTGATTGGTCGTTCAGATCTTTAACCTGCCGTATCCTCCTTAAATGCAAGAGTATAATAACTCTTACCACATATTAATATATGCCTTTTCTCTTTTATTTAGTGCTTTAAAGTAACTGTAAAGGTTGGAGAGTGACTTCTGTTGCGTCTTTTAAGCGAATGTAAAACTTGATGCGATAATTAAGCTGCGTGTTAGAAGTGTGCATTTCAAGCCAATGTAAAACTTAGTTCAGAGACTAAGTTGTGTGAGAAAAGCTCGAGCAAACCAGGCCACTGTAGACTTGCCTAAAAAGTAAATCAAAAAGGAACAAGAAAGAAAGGACCATCGACTTGCGTTCCAATGTTAAAAGCAGATTTACTGGATTTATTTAATTATCAGATAAGATATTATTGGTTTTTGATCAAATTTGTATCTAAATTTACATATACAAAAGAAATTTAGCTTGAATAAAAAAATTTAATATAAAACAAATGTAATCAGACTTACGTATGACTAAGACCTTTACAAGGACGTAAAATAAAAAAATTAATCGAAGTACGTAACTACTGCATCCCATTAGACAGAAAATTACAGAGTAAGTCAACCTCAGTTAAGCGTCTGACACACTAACACCACTTTATACGTACTACTCAGTGATACCTAACACCACAAAGTCAAGTCAACAATTTAAAAGGAAAGTATACTGTAGGTAAAAGCAAATAAGGCATTTGAGCCAACGGATGGTTCCTGACTGGTTCCTCTTTGGTTTGTTATTACAAAGAGTTAAAAATATTTTTATAAACGCAAGATGAAAGTGACCATATGTCACATTGTCAAAAATTACTGTCTTAAAAATTTGCAGTTAAGTGACTACCGTGCACGTCATTATTTTAATAATTATTCATTGTTGAGCTCATCGAAACCTACGCGGCATACTTACGTAGCAGCAATGGCTAGAGCAGTGCTTATGTAATAAATATCACTGTATATGTACACTACCGTGTTATCTCTTTTCTACTTGTTCTCCAGTATCTACACTTTGCACGATCGTACAGCGAACGAGGGAACCAAGTGTCCATTACACTGGCAACCGACTCATCTTGCACGCTACACTTTACTAGTCAGTCACCCACCAGTTTCAGCGACAACTCGGATCTCAGCAGAAGCAGTTGTCTTACCTCGCCCAGAGCCTAAAACCCAGCGTTCTCATCGTTGATCAATCTTAATAGCCAATTCGACATCCTCGAAGACGACTCTTGCCACCCCTAACTTCCTCTCACCGTTCTAAGCCACTCACTTCAAGAGGCTTACTTACTTGTGTATATAAGTGACTTATTCGTTTTGACTACGAGCACACCTCAGGTGGTGCTGCCAATGTCAGGGTTCAATACCAAATTTTCTAGCATAAGAGTATTGGATCGTACGAAAACAGCTCGATTTTAATTAACTACAATTCTATTTTCAGATCGATATCTCCTTACACAAAGTTGTAATTCCTGGAAGACGAAATAGACTATTTTAGATAGATTGACACATATATACGTACATATTGATTTGTTTCTATGACTTGCTCAATTAGCAAGATAAAGAACTAATCAAACTTTAAATCATGTGCACAATCATATTATTTCCTTTGTCGTGAATCGACGTCTCGGAAATCCAAAAAAATTCAACAATAACTTAAAATTGTGAGTAATAACTATAAAATTAAAACATTAATACATTTCTCCGAAAAAGTAACAAATAAATTTATGCAATAAAACAGTCGTATACTGAATTTAACCGCTATCGCGAGGAAAGAACCCGCGACGCGCTACCAATTTAATTGACGAGACCAAAACAATGAAGAAAACTTTAAGTAAATAACAATGTAAAAACCTTCTCATAACACTAGAAATTCAAGTTGAATAATTGAATTAATTGAATCATTTAGACGAGGTGAGACAAGATAGTAGCTCAGCCATAATGATAAGGCTGTACGCAGCAATTGAACAAAGGGCTGACTCTCTATCGTAACTAGCTATGCGAAAATATGCGCCAGCTCACTGACAAGTGAGAAGTTATTTCAAGATCAGCGCTCAAAGAAAACTCTAGCTCTCATTCCCAAGGGAGACACGCACACGGTAATAAGAACCTATACATACTCAAAAAAACTGAGTATTATACAAGCACCAGGTACTTTTACTTAATACGTGTGT